TCAAGATACAAAAAGAGCCAAAAAACAGACAGAAGATATTAGAGACACCAATCAAGCAGAACACAGCAAACTCCGAGACCAATAAACACAGACCAAGACTCCCAACCAATCAGGATGAAGAAAAAACCATTTGAATTTAAATCTGAAACCACTGTAAAAGTCTGACTCACAGACGGACACAATACAGAAGCCTGATGATGGCAGATGAGATTCTGCTGAAACGTTGCTACAACTTTAAAAGCACCACTACTATGATGTGGGAAAATACCCGAACAAAGCTGAAGGACATATATATATATATATATATATATATATATATATATACACACACACACACACACATACATACATACATACACAGAATCACATGCATATGATGGATTTTTTAAAATGTTTGCATAAGGTGTGGTTCTGTTTGCACTCCAGGAGAATAAACATGTCTGACAGAAAGAGAAATTGCCTGCTTTCTGCTCTCTGATACATGCACACACATTCTATCAAGAGTTTTTGTGGGACTCTGACCATTCTTTTTGAACAGGACACAATTTAAATTGTTCACACTAAACAGACAGACATATTCATTATCTAAATAAGGAATAAAATATGTAACAAGGAAGAGATAAGTGGAGAAGAAGGAACCATGTTCTGGAAGGGGAGAGCCTAAATGGTCCTGTGGACCATTTAAAAAAAAAAACCCTTCACAACATACATGATAACGCTTTATTGAAACCAATGATGGCTGAACCTTCACTTCCTTGTCACTCCTATAGTTCTATCAAAATAGGGTCCCCCCCCAACCTGCTTCTTTTCCTTCTGAGTGCAGAACTGCCGCACTGCAAACCCAGGTTCAAGTGCTACTCAAGACTACCTTTTCAAATGCACAAGAAGGGTGTTTTAGGACAGAGAGAATCAGGTTTCAGATAATGGCTGGATGTTTTGAACTTTGGACAACGTAACAGGTATCTTGGATTCTCCAGGTGCTGGGGCTTTTGTGACCGGGTAGGTCTGGATTTTCATCTCTGCTATTCTCTCTTTAAATTTCTGTTGCAGGTACTTTTCTTCTTTGGAGTAGCTTTTTGCAAACGCGGACATAAGTAAACAGGCTGCCATTGTGGTCCCTCCAATGCAAAATAATATTGCTCCTGCCAACTTACACACATCAAGGGCTCGGTTAAATTGGACAGCATGGGTATCCACTACCACAAAATCTTCTACTCCAAGGGCCTCAATTTTGGGGGTTACCAGAAACCCTACTACAAGAACTATGATCCCTGTCAGCATAAACATTGTCCCCGAGATGAGTCCAACCTGAAAAACAGAGAGATTTCAGAAATCAACAAGGCTATTTTCTATTGTGATGGCTTTTGTTTTGTGGCTGTAATCTTAAGCGTTAAACATATCTAATGTGTCACTGATATTTATAGTCACTTCTATGAAACTTGAGTTGCTTAAGGGCTTTCATCCTGTTGACAGTTGAATTTGTTCACTGGTGGAAAAGTTTGGGCTGAACATTCTGGCAATTGCTGTCTTATCACATCTAGAGAGTCTTGAGATCAGGGATAGCTGTCTATAAACAACATTGTTATCAATACCCAAGCCCCATGAAAATCAATAGGGTCTTTATCACCCTACCAACTATAGACATATCTAATAAGCAAAATGAACAATAAATAAATCACTGCATATATTTGAGAGCTTTTGATTTAATAAAAAAAATATCCTTTCTGTAAACGTTTGCATTTCTAACTTGAATGCTGTATTTTCCTTCTATTACTCTCCCAATGATGGAATTTGGGACAATTTATTCTGAAACACAAAGGATTGCTTTTTGGTCCAATATTCATTTTGAATATCTGATCTTTCTTATGTTCTAAAATGATTGATCCCTCTACCTTGAAGGGAGATAGTTTAGAAGACAGTGAGTTTAATGAAGATGGACATAGCTTGTATCTGCCATTTGGCCTAATAGGCCACATCAAAGCCTTCCAGTTTTGTGCTTTAAAAATAGAAGGAGATTGACAGCTGAGAATAAATACATTGTGTATTTATTGATTTATTAAACAAACACCCCATCTTTCCTCACACACAGCACTTTAGGGCAAAGTAGTCATAAACTAGTTATAATGGAAATGCTAAAAACCCATCAGTCATTAGTGATTTGGGGTTGTGATGCTTTTGGAGTTAACAGTCCACAGATCTGCTGCAAGACAACTATTAGGTAGTAGCTGTACCTTCCAAAATGTAGAGCTCCACTTGTTGGGTGACCTCTGGATCTGAAAATCATCATCATACTCCCAAATGGATCCTGTGCAGTCTTCATAAAACTGATGCAGATAAGAGCGAACTCCATAGCGCTGGTAACCTCCCTCTGTGGGACCCTGTTGTCCCTGCTTTGATGCATAAATGTCAGCATACGCACTCATCCTTCCCACCTGCAATGAGACAAAATGGACGCTGGGATTCCCACAGAGCTATAATCGAGTTGTGCCAATTATCAGAATGATCTTCAAAAAAAATAAAAAATTAAAAACCTCACCAAAGAAATTTTCCAATGAGATATATTTAATGTTAGATATTTAGATTAGAATATATGGTTTTTAAAACAACAAGCTTTAGTGTTCTTTCAGATCTTTTATTTTCTAGATGACTGGGTCAATTATTTAGAGATCACACACACACACACACACACACACACCACCACCACCACCACCACCACCACCACTTTATGAGGGTTGTGGTGGATTATGGGTTGGACTTCCCTTATAAAATATGTACAGTTTGAATCAAAGCCTCAAACTAATCAATTTAATGGTGCAAGTTTATAGGTCCTAAGGATTCTGAGTAGAGCCATTCATCTTCTTTATTTTATAATTTATTATTAGTTTAATGATTATGCATTTTTATTTTATTACATTTCTTTACACCGCCCAGAGTCCTCTGGGATTAGGGCAGGTTATCAATATTAGCTCCACCATTTAGGCAAACCAATAGCGGACGTAGTGTGCTAACCATTAGTTTTTAAAATATAGTTTGTTAAGTAGGGCAGAATGTCAGGGTTAGCATAACATGCCATAAACTGTAGCTTAGATCAGTATAATTCACTTTTGTTCACACATTAAGCAAACTGAAACTATATCTTAGCATATGTTAACAAACTTAGTGAATCAGACATTCCTGACCATTGCTGACTTATATTTCTTCAAAATAAGAAAGTTTTTCATGTTTTTATAGTCACTGAAACAATGTCTGTATCATTCATAGTTTTTCTTTACTAGGATACCAAACTGATTTGCAGGAAAAATGTTTGCAGACTTTTAAAATTGAAATATGTATGTCATGTACTTGATCCATAAGATTCTTTATTGTTAATGAATACAGCACCTAAGACTCTTAAATTTTAAATCAATTCATATTTACCAATAACTAAAATGTAATTTCAAGCAAAACCTGGTTGAGTTTATTGCATGTCTACTGGAGCTATGAATATAGTCAAGCACTGAACCATGAAAATGAGTTTAATTGGAAGAGTATAAAAATGTGAAGTGTGAAGATCAACAGAATCTCAAGTGAATCACTGTGCTTGCTATCTAAATCTGGGTGTGATTTCCTTTTATAGATGTTCCCTGAAACATTTTGATTTAAACCAGACTACTGCTCACTAGTTGTGTTTTTAAGTTTATTATTATAGTGGGTTCAGATGTCACATCCATTTCAAAACAGCCAGCCCTACTCAGATAAACTATGATGGAGAAGAGTACCAGCCTTCATATTTAAATTACATGGAAATCAGAAGGCAATCACATTCAAATGACAGAACCTAGCATAGATCCTGATATTTTCATCACTATGACAACCATCCTCAAATGTTTCAGATTATATCAAGGTTCAGGATAAATATGTATTGTATTTTTCCAACCTCCGATGAGATATATTTTTGACTATCACAGAACAGCAATTCTGGATAAAATTTTGTTTTTCTGCTATAACAGACTGATTCCTTTTTTTTAATGTGCAACCACTTTTTCAAAAAACTTGAGTTTAGAAACCTTCAGAGAATTTCAAAGTCCATGACATTGATAGCTAATGTTATTCAAGTCTTTTAAAAACAATACTGAGAAATATTTGCTCTGATGTTCCATTACTTTCTTCTATCACGAATTGTCTTTTGAATGAACAATGTATCCCCCCAAAATGGTATATGGACTTATTATGAGGATGGCTTGTTGCATCAGGACAAGGAAAGACCATGTATAACATATGGTATCTGATGGACATGGCAACTTGCATCACTCTTGCATTGGGATCATCAATCCTTAGTCATATCTTAGAGACAACCTCTTGTAGTTTTGGATGGAATAATGTGTTTGGGGTTTCTTTTTTTGAGTAGCAATAGTCATGAATACTGCATGAAGCGGTTACTGTATTGGCAAAGAATTCTGAAATATATTGAATTCAAATCAAAACTTGGACAGAGAGATATAATTATTTGTCCATCTTTACTTCTGCCCAATTGAATTATAGCCAACAAGTTCTTTGGCATAAGCCCTCTGTCATTTTAGCACTTGGTTCTTCACTAAAGGTTGGATTGAATGATGTTTTTGGGGCATGAGAGTTAACTACCTGACATTTTCCTTTTAAATTTTCCTACACCAGTTTCTCTAAATGGTTTTTTAAAGCTGGGGTTAGTAACCACAATTGTGTTTAATTTTTACTGTCTCTGTTATTGTTGTACTTTAAATTATTCAGTTGTTTCTTGTTGTGGGACACCCAAGGATTCTGCACTATGTTGGCCTATAAATATGTTAATAATTATACTGCTGGTCTATAAATACTGTTAGTACTGTTAACAAGGCTAATAATAATGAATACCAACGAAGATTAGCATTTGGCATAAGCTTTATTATTTGCACAATTATCTATTGCAGAAGACAATATCTCAGTGATGTTGCATTTAAAGTATTGTCATATGACTGACCCTGTTTTTATTGCAACAGGCTACCCTTTAGGAAATGATATTTACAGTTAATTGAAAGTTGATTTAGCTATCATAGAATCATACTTGTCCATGTAAGTAGGGCATGGGATGATTATTTTTGCACTAGTTTGAAGTAGTGATAAATCAAAACCTCGGTGGTGCAGTGGTTAGAGTGCTATACTGTAGGCCACTTCTGCTGATTATCGGCTGCCTGTAATTTGGCAGTTCAAATCCCACCAGGCTCGATGTTGACTCAGCCTTCCATCCTTCCGAGGTTGGTAAAATGAGGACCCAGATTGTTGGGGGCAATATGCTAACTATGTAAACTGCTTAGAGAGGGCTGTAAAGCACTGTAAAGTGGTATATAAGTCTAAGTGCTATTGCTATTTTCACTGGCAACTGGGCTTATTTCAATCTGCTCTGGGTAATGTGATAAGGCAATTAATAACCCAAACAAATGTTGTTAACTTTATCCATAGGCTGATGAAGCCCTTGCTGTGCATTTAACCCATTTATGCACACTTTAGCAACAGGCTATTCAATCTGACAAAGTTCATACACTACTACAGTGGAGTCGGTAACACATCTTTTATAATTGTTAATTTTGCTGTCTACAGAGCAATTGGAATTTCTTTAGACTCTAGACTTTATAATTGGAGAGAAAGCAGTTTGTTCAAAAGATCACATAGTCGTTCTAATGTAGCATTTTACCTCTTGCCAATCTTCTATTTCCTTTTCTCTCTCCACCAACGAGAAAGAGATATCAACAACAACAATATACTTCTCTATAATACTGCACACATTTTCAATCTAATTCATTCTGAACCACAGTCAATGATCATGGCTGCTCAATAATATCCCTTATTTTCCTGGTGGACATTTCTTGGAGGCAGTCAATCTCATATAGATTATTTCCATGCACTACTAGCAATATAATCCATCCTTAACAATAGGGTGTAATCCAGTCCATTCATCATATAACTTTGGGAAGGAAGCAATTCATGGCTCATGTAACAATGACAGATTCAGTTCTTGTTGATTAAATTTGCTTATTAAAAATTTCCCACTTGATTTTGGCTAAGCAATAGCATCCATCTACTGCTGAATGTCACATAATATGTAGGGATCCACAGCTATTGAGTGCATTCAATTTATAATGTGATCTATTGGTCCAATTGATATTCCATGTACACAAAGTTCAACTCAGTACACTTCATAATCCATTGCTGGGGCACTTTGGACTGGTCATTCTCTCTCAGTCCAACTTACCTCACAAGGTTATTGTTCTGGGGAAAATAGGAGGAGGAAGGAGTATTAGGTATGTAGATTATAAAAATAATAAAGGATGGATTTTTAAAAAAGCTAAATAAATAAATAAAATATTGTATTGGGGAATCATATGGGTATTTTAATTTTAATTCATCTAATTATGTAAGACTAAAAATTAAATTTGTAGACAATGAATGCAACAATTGCAATAACCATTGGTGGGAAAATGAATAAAAGCAGCTCTTCCAATATTATAAAATTATAAATGGATAGGTTAGGCTTAGAGTCTCCAAATTTGGCAACATTTTGTGGACTTCAACTCTCAGAATTTCTAGCCAGAATGGCTAGCTAAGGAATTCTGTCAGTTGAAGCCCACAAATCTAAAAGTTATCAAGTCTGGTATAGATTATAAAATGCATGGGAAAATATCTTTGTCTAGGGTGAAAAAAATAATATGATAGGTGATGAACCTACCATTAGTGGAGTGCCATTATTGGAAAAAAAATCCCTCTTTAATAGCTTTAGGATGAATACCCAGAAAGAATTTCTGGAGGTACATTAATGGTTCAGACAGACAGACTATACATCCATGAAGTTGAACTCATGGGAGAACCTTTCTCAAACTTTGTTGGACTGCCAAGCTCCGATTCATAGAGACAGATTCTTCTGAAGATCCATTTCTTTCTTGACATCAAGGACTTAATGCTCTCTGCTATCAAATTGGCAATGCAAGCAATCCTCTCAATTGAGAAGAGAAAGTTTGGTGCTGCGCAAAGCTCACCTGCCATAGTGTCCTGTTATAAGTGTGGACAGGCCAATCACAGAAAATGGAAAAGCATCAGAGCAAGAGAGTGATTGCATTCAGAATGGTATATGAATCTTCTCTGAAAATGATGTACTATGGATTAGAACAAAAAAAAAGGATTTGCTAAAGGAATTTCTTAAGTTAGCTCCCAAATCAACTGATTTCATAAACTTGTCAATATTCATATACTCTTCATCAGTGAATCCATTTCATAATATCATGTTATAAAGGCATTTATTTGCCTTATGCTTGAGCAAATCTAATAGAAACAGCCAGCAACAAATTGCATTAGTAATTTTAGCAGATGGAATAAAGTAAATTGATCAGCAAAGTGGAGGGAAAATAAGCTGCCATAACTACAGAGGAAGAAAGTATCAACAGATGCCTGTTTTCACAGATGAACAATACACAAATGGTAAAATATGACAAATCATTTGCCTGTTCAAAGGAAAACCAATTTTCCAAAGGAAAAAACAATTTTTAAATTTAATTGGTACAAATATTTATAATTATGGTAAAACAATAGTGTCAGTAAGGTCACCAAGAAATGACAAAAAAAATGCAACCAGATTTTTAGGACATGTAGTTTCCTATTAGGTAATCCCATAGCATCTTCAGTTATCATGGTAAAAGCTGTCTTGAATGACTTTTTTCAGTATGGTTTTATTACAATGGTACATTGTAGGCGTAATAAAATTTGTGAATAAATCAACCATATACAGTATACAGGACAGAGTTAGAAGAAAAAGAAGAAAGACTAAAATGAATTCTTATAACTCAATCTGGAAATGTTTTATGAACAACTAGAAATCATTCTTAATTGAAACACTAAACTAACAGAAAAATTAACGAAACTTGTCACAATCAATAAACTAGAGCTTTTTTTAATGCACACTGCTCTTTCTGATCTATACTTTTATATTAAGAAAAAAATGCAAAAAGTGTGTTTTAGTGCAAATAACATTAACAAGATTGAACAGTTCATTGAAAAATTTTCTAAGCAAATCTCAGTGCAAACGATCTTATTCTCTACTCAAACAAGCAAAATTGTATATATAATTTTAATGAGTTTGGGGTGAGAGCTTATATGCATGCATCTATTTTCTAAAGTACCATTTTTATTTCCATAGAATAGAACAAGAAGAAATTGATAATTGATAGTCAAGTTGATTTAAAACCATCCAGTTTTTATTTTTCAAGTAAAACCAATCTATATTCATACATGCATGTGTGCTCAGATTATGATTAATATACCTTTTGAGAGAAAAAAGTTACAGATAATATTTTCCATAAATTGACATTGAACAATTAAATTTGCTTGATTATCACTGTTATATACAGATCTTTCACTCCATATTTCCATTTTATTTTCAAGTTAAGAAAAGCTGAAACAAATTCCTTAATTCCTTTAGACATTTTAAATTTCTTTATCCACGGGTATTCTATATCCATTATGCTCATGGCTTCTGCATTTCTGCCCCTTTCCATACAAAGAACCAAGGTATATAGTCAGAGGAACTGAAAGAAAGATTCTTTTTATATTTAAAAAAATGTTTTTCCTTTTAGCAATGGAGATGAGATACAAAGCATGAAAAAAGAGGCAAGGAGTTTCGAAGGACGCTATTGTCACTGAGAAGGACAGAGAAGTCTTAGTGATGGCCACAAATGTATGTACCTCTACAGTTCAGTAGCATTTTACTAATATGGCAGTGAAAACACTTACCAATAATGCAAAATGTACTTAAAAATGAACCCTGAGATCCAATTGAGAGAGGCTACAGACAGTATTTTACTTATGATGCCATTGGCTAGTTATGTTTTCATGTTCTACAGAGCAATCACCATCACAACAGAAATGCTTCTGAAAACTGTTATTTTATAGCTTGAAAAAAGAGAAAATTTCTGTAACATTTCCCCAAAAGTTTGATCAAGAAAACACTTTCTTATTTTTAGCCAATGATACATAAAGTACATATTCCCCAAATGATTATTTTTAAGCTTAGAACCCCATACTGAATTGCCTGTGAACAAATCACAAAGCCTGCTGGAGAAATTATGTTATCCAACAGCATGACATGAGTTATTGTACTACGTATCACATTGCCCTAGCAAAATAATAATAATGTTTACAATAGATCTGTAATACAGGAATGTAACTCGGGGAAAAAACCCTAACATGACAGCCAATACATTTTATGCAGAAGCCATTTTAAAAATGGGACGCAAATTTCCTTTTTGTAAATAATAACAGAAGTAGTGGTTATTATCTGTATGATCAGATATTTGATGGGCAGTCTTCAAAAATGGCAGAATATAATCTCCTTCTAAATCTCCTCCACTAAACTACTATTTTTTTATTTCTACTATTTTATCTTTTTATTTATTTTATTTTTTATTTCTACTATTGACCTCACCCCTTTCCTAAGAGATCTGTAGGGGGCATGCATAAGTGCACCAACGTGCCTATCGTCCCTGTCCTATTGTTTCTTTTATTTTTCTTATATGTATCCATGTATTCATAACTATGTTTTTACTTATACCTATTATCCTGTAAGCAATTGACAGACCAAATAAAATAAATAAATAAAAATAAATAAACTCAAGGGGTGGAGTAATCTTAGTTTTAAAAGACATGGGAGGTCTAAGTGAATTTATAATAAATGAATTTAGACAGGTCTAAATAAATGAAATACTGCCTTCCTGTAAGGAAGAAGAGGAGCAATTGGGAAAGAAATCCACAACTAGTAGCTTTTGCTGTCTTTTTTAGAGTGTTAAATTTTCTCCCGCCATATCCTTCATTCCTGTCGCTCCCAAGTGGGAGCTGTCCAAGGTGCCAGCAACGAGTTCTGCAAATTGTTCCAGTTGACCTCCTAGGCCCTTGTTTATTTATTCTTCAACGTCAAACTTCTTTTCCTCTCTCTGATATTTTTCCCCCACATAAAACCTTTGCAGAGTCTGGCTCTTCGAGAACGGTTCGCCTTCTAAACCCTTCCTTTCCATTTTGTCCCGCCTCGCTCTTCCCCGCCTCGCTCGACCTGATTATATTATTTTTGAAAACCGGGAAGCCAGTCTGGAAAATAAAAATACCGCTCAAACAAAGCCAAGCAACCGCGCTTTCGAATCTCCCCAAATCCCAGCCCGGGCTGGAAACAATTGTCATTCTCTTAAAAATAGCCATGAATTCATGATCACTGCTCTGTTCTTTTGCGTTTTGTCCCTTCCCCTCGCTACTTTTTTTTTTCCTTCCCAAAACTGTAGGATGGAGTTGCTCGCCCAAAGTCAACCCCGCGCTTTGCATAGCAGAGATTATTTCTCCCTCTCCCGGCTCTGCTCTCTGGGCAAGGTAGCCTGGCTTGCTTCGAGGGTCGGATCAGGCAATGGCGCGACGCCAAACAAATCGTCAATCGGAGCCCGGGTGCGAGCGGGCTGCGGTGTACAAAAGCGGTTACCTGATCCGCCTCTTCTTCCTCCGTCTTTCCTACCGGGCGAGCAAATGCAGCCGGGTTAGCTGCAGATCTCTCGCTCGGTTGCCATCTCTGTTCTGAGCTGCTCCAGCCTCAGATGCCACGTATTATTTACACCCCGGTGCCTGCGCACTGAGAGTCACGGCGCGTTAGGCTCTGCAGGAGGAGGAGGAGAAGGAGGAGCTGCCTCTGCCACTGCCGCCGTTTCCGAAGACCGCTCGGCCGGCCTCCGTGGCTGTCGCTCGTTAGGCAGGCCTCCCTTAATGGGCGCGACGAAGGCTTTTTCCATCGTCTTAATGCCCAGTCTTAGCTCTTTTTAGGGTACACGACTGGTAGATGATGAGCTGTTCTCTCCAGCATTTGGCTGCATGCCTCTTGGTCCCTCTGCCTCCATTGATCTCATCACTCCAGGTCCCCACAGCCCACAAAATTCTTCCCATTGCCCCTGTCAGAGGCAGCAAGAAGTAGTGGGTCATACATGCTATTTACACCATGGTTATATCACCTGCAGGTGAACTTTGTGCAGCTTCAAACATTCTCTTCTCAATTGAGAGGATGGCTTGCACTGCCAAGTTGATAGCAGAGAGCATTCAGTCCTTGTTGTCAAGAGAGAAATGGATCCTACGAATCTGAGTTTGGCAGTCTTTACTTTAAAACATTCTTTCTAACAAATTTTTAGAAAGGGGTATGACAAAATAACAGAGCTGAAAGGGACCTTTCAAAAGCAGGAGACCCTATAATCATTCCTTCTTAAAAACCTCCAAGGATGAAGCACATCATGCAGAGGGCATAATGTGGGACTTGCACTGTTGTTGTTCAGTGGCTAAGTTGTGTCTGACTTCATGATCCCATGGACCATAGCATACTGCCCCCCACATCTTCCACTGTCTCCTGCAGTTTTCCCAAATTCATTGTGTCAATGAGCAATTACAGGGAAAGGGGTAAATGTTTTGGAATGGTCTTTGCAATCACCAGAATATTATTCATAACAACATATATCGAAGATCTGTAGGGTGATTCCAGACATGTAGTACATACAAAAAGACCCAGGAATATTTCTGAAATAGAATTATGTAACAAAGAGTAGGGGAAAACATTCAAAAGAAAATCCAGAAAAAACTCTTAGCTGCCTGCAGAAATCATTTGGGAACTGCTATTTCTGCCAAAGAAAGTTTCCAAACCAGCGGCTGGAAAGATATTCAAACCTTTACATCCATCTTAATATGTTGTTATTTTGCAACTGTAAATAACTGCATACGTATGCATCCAAATTTGCAGAAAGGCATCTGATCAAACTATTTACCATTTAGGGGCTTGGTTAATTCCTGTTTGCTTACAGAGTAATTAAAATTTGACCAGAGCTGCCCAAACTTTGATATGCAACTGAACAATTACCTTAACCAGTGAGTAGACTTTAATAAAGTAGCAATATTTATTTACTCTCTATTAGTACAAGGTTTGGCTCAACAATGATTTCATAAATAAGTCACGATTAGCTGGGTTTACATATTATATTAAGCCAAAGACCCCAAACTGCCCAGTAACAGTGTGATGAGTAAACCCAGCCAATATCTGTTGGCTTCCTTTATCCATGTGCCTTCTTATGACTCTCAAACCATCCTAATGCATTGGTGAGATAGGATTTGGCTTTGTAGGAACCAAATTTGTTTAGAAGGAGAATATTTGATTTGTTTAGCACTAAATTCTCCAGCACATACAGTAATCTGATTAGACGGTTATTTCTTGCATTTGTCCCTAATCAATTTTTTTTAAAGAAAATGGCTATTACATTGGCCATTTTCCAATCCTTTGATACAGGAATCACTGTTAGGATCTTTGAAGATCATTCATTTCATATTTGACTGAAGTAATTCACTTTTTAATGCAATCTGGAGTGCCTTCATTCAGTTTCTCCACATCCTTAGCCAGTTATAGTTTGCTCTCATTTTTCTTTTCATCCAACTGTCCAGTTGCCTCCTCTGGCTGGTTTCCAGCTTCTAACATATTTAATAATTTATTATAGTGTTTTGTCACACAGCCAGCCAGATGTTTAGACTTGGATTTGGCCTTTTTATCTGCCTCTTGAGTTCTTGCTGCGGATCTGGGATAGGCAGATGGTTGAGTTGTATGTTATTATGCTCCTCAAAATATTGTGGTTTTTAAACACATCTGTGCAGGCATTCCTTTCTGACCTGAAATTGGTCAAAATTTCTGTTTTCTGAAATGTGCTTTAGAAGATATTAACTTGCTTATAAAATGGGATCATGATTTGAAATGGCCAACCTTTCATTTGTCAGTTTAAGCATGCAATATATCAGATTTCTTTGGTCAGAGAAGGTAACTTGGTTGATGAAAAACATATCAACTTCTGGATAAAATCTCATTCCAGTTTGCTTTTTAGATGTTCATCTGTGAAATCCAGTAATACAAATTAATTTCATTCTTTTAAGAGCTATAAAGTACTACTCTGGTACTACCATGTTAAAGTTTCTGAACTGATTAGAACTCATGAACCTGCTTCAGTGATTATTATTTTTTAGTAATATCACATTATTATTCCCATTTTGGATATGGGGTTGTCACTAGAGGTATCTGGAATACTGTATCAGGGCAGAAACAGAATGGATGATCACACTATCTTCTTGTTGCCATATAAAGGTCACATGGATTTTTGCACTCAGAATTGGTATGCTTTAGCCTTAGTCTGGTTGCTCTATCTTTATTGTTTATGTTGCATTTTAATGTGTTTCCTTGCCCAAGGAATTCAGGATGGTATGCATGATTCTTGTCTCTCAATTCATTATATTCTCACAATAACTTATAAAATCAGTGAGACTGCTAAAGAAATACTGCCTCCAAAATGCTCTGGGAGCACAAGCTGGATAGGGATTTAAACCTTAGTTTTTCTACTCTGAATCTGGCTTCCTCACTATCTTACCCGGTTTTCCTTGTAAAAACCTGCTTGATAAGATTCTATTCAAATGAGAGGATAAGCTTTTAGGATTAGGCAGTTTTGAATTACACCAGTGCCTACCATTTGTTACAGATTAACAACTGTAATATATAGAGACTTCTTGTGTCTAATCTATTTAAATCAGTCTTTTTCCAAACCTTCAGCTCCCTGAATATGTGTTGGATTACAACTCATGTCACAATGACATGTGGCATGATGGAAATTGTAGTCCAATAAATCTGGAGAAGGAACTGGTTGGGAAAGCTGTTAGAAGCTTTTAGATTTTGTGATGAGAGAAATTCAAATAGGTGCATAAATGTAAATGTAAACATCTGATAAAATGAGCATCATGCTGTTCCCTGGATAAAGAGCTGGGCTTCTGAGTATTCTTTATTCATAAGTCATTGTCAGGTGCAAAGGATCAGGACCATACATTAAGTTGCAGGACAAAAGATTTATTCAGGCCTATTTACAACAATCTAGTCAACTAAAATGGTGCCAGATAAGAGTCAATAGATTCAAAATGAGTTGGACTTGGATCATTTGTGGTGATGTAAGGACTCTAAGATGATAACATGTTTAACTCCACCTCCCAGCTCTGCCTGATCTTCTCCTACAATCATTCTGTATGCTTACTTTGTGTATTTACTACTAGGATGTTTTTTAAAATAAATAATCTCTTACCTATCCTAGAAAAATACAAAATAATATTAGAAACCTTAAATTTTATAAAAGAATAACATTATAGTGTCCTAAATCAATATTACAACATTTAAAAGGGCCAAGAAGAAGAACAAGAAGAAACATGCATTAGCAGAGATCAAATCCGCATGATTAAGTTAAAAATAGAATTCATATTGGAGTATCATTAAATGGGATTAGGCTACTTCATGGGTAGAGGTTTATCAATTGTCATTTATTTATTTTACAAATAACTCAAGGCATATCCAATATGTCTTCTTCATCCTATTTTCCCAACAACAACAACCATGTGAAGTGAATTGGGCTGACAGAGAGTGGCTGGCCCAAAGTCATCGAGTTAGCTTTCATGGCTAAGGCAGGACTTGAATTCACAGTCTCCTGCTTTCTAACCTGGTGCCTTAAATACTAGACAAAACTAGCTATCACACTGGCAGTAATAGGTAAATAGAGCTAGAATCTCAGACTATGGATTAATAAAACAGTTAAAAAGAATAAAATGAAAGGCCAGTTACTTTGCTTTGTTTAAGCATTCGACTAATGATTCTTAGGTATAGGATCCTGGATCTGAGGGGTTTTTTGGTTTCCAATAAGAACCCAGTAAAATTTGCCCAAGACATCTCTAATTTGTAGTAGTTAATAACCTTCAGCAATATAGTCTTTTCTAACACATAAACCTCATACATTTATGTCTATTTAAAAAGTGAATCCTTTTGAGTTCACTGGTGCCATATTTGTGCATATGGCAAAAATATCACTTGAACGCAATGGGACTTCCAGGCAAATTTAATGCTAGTGACTTCAATTTTAACCCAATTGGGAATCTGTTTCAGGAGATTAGCCACATTGAAATATCTAAAATACACTTTTTGTGTTGCCTCTTTAATGACAATGTTCACACATTATAATCAAAGATTGTACCAGTGAGGTATCAGTAGCCGTAGCGTGATGCTAAATGAGGTATGTACAGAGTTTCATTCTGTCTCCAGTCAAAATACTTATGAGGTTAATTAAAATGTGATAAAGATGATTGTAGCTGATGCCCTGTTGGGAAGCAATATGGAAATTTAAGAACAGGAAACAGGGTGCAGCGTATACAGACAATGTCCAGTTAAGTATGAATACATAAGATTAATTTTCTTCCAGATCTGCACACCAAGGGATTACAGATGAAGCGAACTGATAGCACACGTTGTACTTTCAACACTGACAGGGGATTTTGAATATTTCCAAGGTGATGCTTGAAATTATTGAGGTTTTATTTTTGTGGTATTATGACTGGCTGGCTCTATCTTTCACTTATTTGAGCATTTATATTTCACTGTTCTATGTGTCGAAATAACTTCATTTATTTTGAGTCAATGTTTATTCCTGGTAACTGCCTGAACTAATCTGCACAGTTTTCTTGGCAAGATTTTTCAAAGTGGTTTACCATTGCA